GACAACTCTACAGTGGTAGCCAACATAAGTCGTCAGAGTGGAACAAGAACACTGCAGCTTCACAAGCTGGCCCGGGATCTAATTTTATTGAGCAGCACCAGGCTCCTCTCACTCCGGGCGACCCATGTGGCAGGGGTCCTGAACAAGGGAGCAGATCTCCTGTCCAAGGGCAACCCACTGTATGGGGAATAGTGTCTCGATCCTCAGGTGGTGGAGCAGATCTGGCTCAGGTTTGGTAGGGCCGACGTAGATCTCTTCGCCTCATGGGAAAACACCCACTGTCCTTGGTTCTTCTCCCTGTCAGATGCAGATGCTCCATTGTTGATGGACGCACTTGCCCACCCGTGGCCAGACACGCTGATGTATGCTTTCCCACCTCTCAGCCTGATTTCTCCCACACTGAGCAGAGTGAGAGAACAGGGCCGGTATTTAATTTTGGTGGCCCCATGGTGGCCATCCAAGCCCTGAATGGCAGAAATCGTTCAGATGCTGTCAGGAGAACCGTGGCCTCTCCCCATTCGCAGGTACCTCCTGTCCCAAGCCAGGGGAGAAATATATCACCCCCACCCAGATCGCATGGTTCTCTGGGCCTGGCCCGTGAAAGGTGGAATTTAGAAGAGGCTGGCCTCCCTCCGGAGGTTGTTGACACAGATCAAAGTGCAAGGGTCTCCTCTACTCACTATCTTTACAGAGGTAAGTGGCGAGTTTTTGAGAAATGGTGTGGAGAGAGGCACGTTATTCCTTTTCAGTGCTCTCTTGTGGATGTTCTCGGTTTCCTACAGAACCTGCTGGGAAAAGGCAAAGCTTTTTCCACCATCAAAGTTTATCCAGCAGCAATTTCTGCTTGTCACATTGGATTTAACAACAAATCTGTTGGTCAGCATCCTCTAGTGAGTCGCTTCATGAAGGGGGCATGACATAAGCGGCCATTTTCTAGGCCTCTGGTTCCATTGTGGGACCTCCCATTGGTGCTTGAAGCCCTTTGTCATCACCCTTTTGAACCCTTGGAGGGGCGGGGATGAAATTTCTCTCGTTTAAAACTGCTCTGCTTTTGGCTTTCACCACAGCTAAAAGGGTGAGTAAACTGCATGCCTTATCTGTCAGCCCCTCATGCCTACTAAGGTGTGTCTCAAACCCAATCCAGCATTTTTGCCCAAGGTAATGGACTTTGGGTATAAATGTGGTTCAGTGGAGCTGTCATCTTTCCACCCACCTCCATTCTCCTCAGAAGAGGAGCGAGGTCTTAACTACCTGTGCCCTGTGCGGGCACTGAAAATGTATGTGGACAGGACAGTTGGTTTTAGGAAGTCAGACCAGCTGTTTGTTTCATGGGCCACAGCTCATAAGGGAAAATCAGTGTCATGCCAGAGGCTGGCACACTGGATTGTGGAGACCATTGGTCTCTGTTACAGGTGTAAAGGTGCAGAAACTCCAGTTGGTCTGAAAGCCCATTCCACCAGGAGCATGGCCACATCTTGGGCCCTGTTCCAAGGAGTATCTATTCAAGATATTTGTGCTGCGGCGAGCTGGGCATCACCACACACTTTTGTACATTTTTACAGGCTGGATCCTTAGCTCATGCAGTACTGGACGCCGGTAATTCAGAGCCTTCGTAAGTGGGGCTCTGGGAAGCTGCGGGCTTCGGGGCTTTCATGCCATACAAAGTTAGAAAAAGAACTTTATGTTAGTTAACGTAACCCCGGTTGAGTTGCCGCCATGTGATTGGCTGATTAGAAATTAAGTGTTAACGAGCAGTTGGACAGGTGTACCTAATAAATTGGCCGGTGAGTGTACACTCACCGGCCAATTTATTAGGTACACCTGTCCAACTGCTCATTAATGCAAATGTCGAATCAACCAATCACGTGGCAGCAACTCAGTACATTTAGGCATGTAGAAATGACCAAGATGATCTGATGCAGTTCAAACCAGCATCAGAATGAGGAATACTAGTCTATATATATA